TTTAGTAGAGACGGGGTTTCACCATGTTGACCAGGATGGTCTCGATCTCTTGACCTCGTGATCCACCCGCCTCGGCCTCCCAAAGTGCTGGGATTACAGGCTTGAGCCACCGCGCCCGGCCTCCAGTTCTAGTCTTGAACTCCTGGCCTCAAGAGACCCTACTGCTTCAGCCTCCCAAAGTGTTGGGATTACTAGCATGAGCCACTGTGCCAAGCCTGTACCTGGTCTTTTAGAAACTTGAGGAGCAGCTAGGAAGCTATCTCAGAGTCATGATTGTAGAATGGCAGGTGAATAGTGTTAAATTACCGAGGCTTTGGGATTAAGATTTTCCATATTTGTTCTTCAGGGAATGTTTGTGAGTCTCTTTCCCATCCATCTTGTCGGTCAGCTGGTTAGTCTCCTGCATATGTCTCTTCTCTACTCACTGTACTGCTTTGAATATCGTTGGTTCAATAAAGGTAAGTCCATCTAAAGAAATCCAGAAAATGGAGGCCCAGTTTGGAAATGCTAGTGCTAGGCAGACTTCTTAAACTACTCAATAGTCAGGCTCTAGGCAAACCATCTTAGGAGGGACGCAGTCTCATTGGCAAGAGGGAGCTTACATTCAGCTTAGTGGGTTTAACTCTCAACTTTGAGGCTGGGGGATGTGGTAGTATAGCATTATCTTTTTGGTGCTTAATGTGATATATCTCTGACTGGGCTGTAAGATGGCATAAATGAGCATGAGTTGTTCTAAATTAGAGAAACTGATGTCAGCATCTGGATTCTTTTGGGGGTATTTTAGAAAGACCTTCAGATATTTACCAGGGTGTGAGTTGAAAGAGGTTAACTGATACTTACAGGATGGCATCCTCTAGATTTGCTATCTTGCTTAGTTCCATACTAATCCTGACAAAGGATGCTGGTGCTGAAATTCTTAATTCACTTAGCCTGTCAGCTTTGAAATTATAATTATGGAATTGTAAAAGCTTCACATGCTTTATATCAGATTTGTACACTTCTAATTTACATGCTGTAGATCTGTTCTAAATCTGTACCTAGGCCAGGTGCGGTGGCTCACACCTGTAATCCCAGCACTTTGGGAGGCTGAGGCGTGTAGATTGCTTGAGGTCAGGAGTTCAAGACCAGCCTGGCCGATATGGTGAAACCCTGTTTCTACTAAAAATATACAAAAATTAGCTGGATGTGGTGGCGGGTGCTTGTAATCCCAGCTATTCGGGAGGCTGGGAGAATCGCTTGAACTTGGGAGATGGAGGTTGCACTGACCTGAGATTGCACTACTGCACTCTCGCCTGGGCAACAAAGCAAGACTCTGTCTCAAATAATAATAATAATAAAAAATCTGTAACTAAAACTCGTGGTTTGTCTACCATAGTTCAGTCACTAGACTAAAAGGAAAAATAGTAACTAATTGTATTGGCTTTCTTGTTTTAGGAATTGAAATGCACCAGCGGTTGTCTAACATAGAAAGGAATTGGCCTTACTACTTTGGGTTTGGTTTGCCCTTGGCTTTTCTCACAGCAATGCAGTCCTCATATATTATCAGGTAATTTGGCTAGAGGGATTTGAAGGAGACTAGTAAAAATAAAAATTCATGAAGTCAGTACCTTTTGTTTGCTTGGTTCTGTGTTATGCATTCTACATAGTTATTTGTCCATCAGGAGACCTGCAGGGTGTTTCTACATTTGTTAGCATGAAGATCTAGTCTGCATGTCCCTATATCCCATATTCTTTTTCTATGTTGTCTCCTGGAGAAATTTTTTTTTTTTTTTTTTTTTTTTTTTTTTTTTCTAGTCTAAATTTTTTTATTGACCAGATGAGAAATCCGCTTGGGTACAGCCCATGCCTGCAGCCTTTTCAGTGTTGTTCTTTCTCTCAGATAC